GTATTTCTAAGTGTTGAGAATAGCTTTTGGGCGTTTTCTGTTAATGATGTTAGTAAAATCGTAGTTTGGGAGAATCTGCAAAAGAGAGTTGTTAATATTTGGGATGTTAGCATAGAAATTATCAGCAAGATGCTTAAAAAAGTGACTAATATGTGGAATTTTAAGCTCTTTGGCTATCTGTTCATTCCTGAAATACCATGGGCTATTGCTGATGTGTCTGAGTGTTTTTGTCTGTGTGGAATGAATCTTTTTAATGTGTGTAGGGGCAGCATAGGCCCAAATTGGTGCAGCATATGAAAGAATGGATCTGAGAATGCTTTTGTAAAGAAGAAGCTTATTATCAAGGTCTAGCTGTGAGTTATTGGAGATTAGTGGGTAGAGAATGGATTTTGCAGTTCTGAACTTTTGAATGGTGTTAGTAACATGCTGATGCCAGGTTAGTCTCTTATCAAGTGTGACACCAAGCTATTTGACAGTGTTAGACCAGGGGATATTGTTGTTGAGGAGAGCGCGTGGTGTTGCCTGTTTACGCTTAAAGCCAAACATGACAGCTACACACTTCACCGAAGTCAAGCATCATTGGGCGCGGTCAGTACTTGGGTGGGTGACCACCTGAGAACACCGCGTGCCGTTGGCATTCACAAATTTAGGACGGAATGGCCGAGTGTTCTGCCGCTCTGTGCCACAGGTATCGGGTTCGAATCCCGGCGGTGCCATGGATGTTTGTAGTGATTCGGAATCCACTTTAAGCCGTAGGACCCGGTCTCCTATGACTGTAAGAGCGTCACGGAGCCAAAGTCAGACTTCTACCTACGGGTGCTCCATCACAACAGAAGCTGCTTCCTTCCCCTTCAATCATAAGTACGTATGGGCTCGTGGGCTTGGCCAGTCAAGTGAGATAAGAAACAAAAAACAAAACAACAACACTGTCTCACAGATAGAAAATCGAAACTTTTTTTTATAAGTAAAAACTACTAATCTACATGTACTACGTGCGTCCCACAATCACGTACGTTTGGGGGCAGCAGAATTGCTTCCATGGAAAATATTCAGATGGCACAGAATAAAGTTCTCGGAATGATTTCCAGTTCCTCTTGGTACATCAGAAACGGGGTCATCAGACATCCTGTTCATAATAATTCAAAGAAATTTTATAATTCTATTCCCAATACAGAAAACGCTGTTTTAACTTCTCCCCTTTATGATATTTCCCTGCTTGGAAACAGGAAACGGACTGTTGCTGTGTTAAATATTACCTGTCATAACTCCCACTTTTGAAGTGCCTTTTACTGCTTATTAGCGCCAGACAAAGATTCATCAATTAAATTTTTTTTTACTTCAATTAATTGTTATTTTTTTTATATTGAGCCCTTTATTCCTTTATAGACTAATGACTTTTTCATGTAGCTAAATGCTTCTTGTGATTGTTGTTTTGAAGTCTTTAAAATCTTGCTTGTACTTCTCTTTATTTTTCAATTCCTAGTATTAGTTCACACACTAACTATATATATGTATATATATTGTTCAAATTTTTAATCCTTAATAAAACACTTTTTATTCCTCCACTCAAGTTCACATACATTTTTTGAAACTTGTAGTGGATGGCACTTGATGTTAATACAGTTTTCTCAAATGTTAATTCATTCATTAAATTAAATTAATTAATTTTAGTTTTTTTAAGATTTAAGTTGCATGTATCTACCGATAGATGGCGCCAGATGTAAGAGGAAAATTTCAACTTTATTTATAAAGGATTTTCTGTAATATAGTAAAAGAAAAAAAAATAGGAAACGACATTAAAAAAAAAACATTTATATTACTTGTTAAGGCTCACCAAGGCGACAAGATGAAAGCGAAAAAATTTGACCAATCACTAGCCTCACCGCGGTCGCCTGAAACCGGTTTGCAGTGCGCCGCTTGGAGTTGCCCAACTTTCAACTCGAAGCGGTTTTTCACTAGGCGTAATGCTATTTCTGACGTTTCGCTGTGAAGGGGTCGAAAAAATTTTGTCGCTTGCCTCTTGAATCTTCACGTCTCTCGCCTTGGTGGGAACGAGCCTTTATTATTGGTTTTTAATATTCAATGTAGGGCCTGAATGGCCGAGTGGATAGCGCCCTGGCGCTCGGTACCACAGGTTTCGGGTTCGAGTCTCGGCGGTGCCATGGATGTTTGTAGTGGTTCGGAATCCACTTTTAACCGTAGATCCCGGTCCTAATAGGATCGTAGAGCGTTGCGGGGGCATTGCTACTCCGCGTCCGTATCTTCAAGTTACACGCGCATTCTGGGTAATGCAAAGTGAGTAACGTCTGTGCAGCGCTTGCCTTAAGGCATCCAAGACTAAGCTGTCTGGGTGTTTACCAGCTGCATTGAAACAAAAAAAAAATATTTAATGGACATTGATCGAAAGCCACTTTCCATCTATTCGAGACATAAGTTTTTGGCTCTGCAGTCAATGAGCTTCGTTATCCGCCAACCACAAGTTAAAAGAAATTTGTCAATGAAAAAAAAAGTGAACTTCAAATTTTAAATAAGTGTTTTTTAATAAAAATAGTTTTGACTCTTAAGCTGTTAAAATTGTAGTTTTTGTTCCAATTGCATCTAAATGCAGATATTTGCCAATTTTGAATGTAAAACAAGATTTTAAGAAGTCAGGAACATTCTCTTTCTCGTAGAAATACTTATTTGATTTACTTCGTAAATGTAAACGTGTATCAGTTTTTAAAAGTATACGTTATTTCTGTGCATATTCAACTGTTTTTAATTAGATATAATTAAAAGAGTGATATAAAATGATAAGTGATATAAAATGAAAAATAAATAAAAAGAAAATACAAGTGATACAAATGTAGAATACAAATAAATATGCTCTTAATCTATTGAATGTTTTTAGCAATATTTAGAAAAAATACATAAGTGAAATTTTATTAAAATAAATTGAACAAAAGGCATTTTGTCAGTAAAAATTATAACACAATTATGTATTTATAGTATATCTAGTAACTTACAATCAAGATGCAAAAAATACATAATGATTGACTGCATTGAATTTCAAGCAAATGGAGGATTTGATGTCAAAGTTATTAAAAAAATAAACTATACAGATGGATGTAATTTCAAAATTGGAGTTCACGATCGATGATGTTTATAAAGATCGATCGATCATGTTGACAAACCACTTTTCTTTTTTACTGTCTGGGCACCCGATTGGTCTTATTTTCTGGCCCTCCGATTGGTCTTATTTTCTGGACACCCGATTGGTCTTACTTTCTGGACACCCGATTGGCCTTCCTTTAAGGACACCAGATTTGTCTTACTATCTGGGCACCCGATTGATTTTACTTTCTGGAGACAGGATTGGTCTTACTTTCTGAACACCCGATTGGTCTTACTTGCTTGGACACCCGATTGGTCTTACTTGCTGGACCCCCGATTGGTCTTACTTTCTGGAGACAGGATATGACTTATTTTCTGGACACGTATTGGTCTTACTGTCTGGACACCCGAATCGTCTTACTTTATGGACACCCGATTCGTCATACTTTATGGACACCCGATTGGTCTTATTAACTGGACACCCGATTGGTCTTACTTTCTGGACACCCGATTGGTCTTATTAACTGGACACCCGATTGGTCTTACTTTCTGGACACCCGATTGGTCTTACTATCTGGACACCCGATTGGTCTTAGTTTCTGGACACGCGATTGGCCTTCCTTTAAGGACACCAGATTTGTCTTACTAACTGGGCACCCGATTGGTCTTACTTTATGGACACCCGATTGGTCTTACTTTCTGGAGACAGGATTGATCTCACTTTATGGACACCCAATTGGTCTCACTTTATGGACACTCCATTGGTGTTACTTTCTGGACACCTGATTGGTCTTACTTTCCGGACACCCGATTAGTCTTACTGTCTAGCCACCCGATTGGTCTTACTTTATGGACACCCGATTGGTCTTACTCTCTGAACACTCCATTGGTGTTACTTTCTGGACACCCGATTGGTTCTTACTTTCTGGAGACAGGATTGATCTCACTTTATGGACACCCGATTGGTCTTACTCTCTGAACACTCCATTGGTGTTACTTTATGGACACCCGATTGGTCTTACTTTCTGGACACCCGATTGGTCTTACTATCTGGACACTCCATTGGTCCTACTTTATGGACACCTGATTTGTCTTACTGTCTGAACACCCGATTGGTCTTACTATCTTAACACTCGATTGGTCTTACTTTCTGGACACCTGATTTGTCTTACTTTCAGGACACCCGATTGGTCTTACTTTCTGGACACCCGATTGGTCTTACTTTCTGGACACCCGATAGGTCTTACTTTCTGGACACCCGATAGGTCTTACTTTCTGGACACCCGATTGGTCTTACTCTCTGGACTCCCGATTTCTTACTTTCTGGACACCCGATTGTTTATCCGAATACATAAAAAGTAATTAATTAAATATTACTTATAAAACTTTGTGAAATTATGTAGCAGAATGTAGTAATGCATGAATTTTGCAGCAGTTTTGCGCAGATTTTCCACCCGTGTGATTTCTCTGTTACTGAATGAGTTAATGATCATTTCTTGCGCAGCAAAAGAAATCTTGCGCCTTTTTCCAGGCATGACAACTGAAACTGTAAGAATGGCCATCCATCGATCATGTTGTATATCTTTTAGGGAATACAGGACTTATATTTGTGAAACATTTACAGTGCAAGCAGGGCCGGATTTAGATGAAAAGGGGCCCTAGACCATTCCACTTAGGAGGCCCTTTCACCTCCCATTTTTAAGTTTGTAAATTACACGAGAGATAATAAAATACATTATTACTGTGATATATATCAATATGTTAAATGAAACACTAATCTTTATAAAAAATGTGGCACGGATTTAAATAAATTAAAATATAAATTAATAAATAATAAATGAAAAAAAGATTAATAAATTAAAATCCTTTTTTTTTCATTTATTAAAATCCTTTCATTAATTAATAAATGAAAGGATTTTAATAAATGAAAGAAAAAGTCGAGAGCATTTATTTGGGCATTTATTCTCAGCACCCTATATAGTACTTGTAACAATTACTCATCAAACATAACACACAACATTTACAAAGAAACAAAATTGAAATAGTAAAACTCTTTGACTACGAAAATAAAATATGCAATAAAAATGATCTTATTTTCTATCAAATTAAATTAACTATATTCAGTACATTGAAGATTAAAGCAAATTCAATTCAGATAAATTTATTTCATAATAATTCGCATTTAAAGTTTAAGTACGAATTTCAAGTTTTAAACTAAACCAAAAATGGAACTTTATTCAAACAAAATCCGGATCAATAGGTCTGTTTGTTTGTCTGTTTCAATCTACACTTTATTAATGCAAGAACAAAACCAGAGCTTGGTAGCATAAGATACGTCAATATTTGCCATAGCAATAGGTGAACGTTTGAACTATACTTTGGTGCAACCTAGTATACACAAACGAACAGACCCAATGAGCCGAACGCGTTGATCTTAACTAATACATTTTTATGTTTGTTTATTAGTTATACGTGTAGAATTTCTCCTTATTTTCGATTCAGTGTTTACTGTTTTTAGAATAGTGTCATTCTAATTTTGC